TGAGCTTCGGAGCCCTTACGCCGGGTTCTCCCCGGAGCTTCTCTTCTCCTCCCGTTTCAGGTCCCTGTTACTCAGTTCAGAGGCAAGATCATCGACAGCTAAGACCGGCCAGATCGTGCATCATCAGAACCTATTTCAGCATTTATCAAATTGTCATTGACAACTTAGATTGCTTTGAATGGGTTCCAAACCCAGACCAATATTTAAACTGCATTTCCTTTGAATTTTAACAAAATTTGCATTTCATAGCTCCCCTACCAATTTATGTTTGATGATGTTGATAATAAGGACAAAGGATGCATAATGATGATAATAGAATTTGTAGTTCCCAAGGAATACCTTTGGTGCTGATTATATGCCAGGACTAGGACTTACATTCCATAGATTTGACACTTCAGATTATCCATTGTAACAATCTTAACCATAGTAAATGTTTGCTACTACTTGATCTTAGATCTTTTCAAGTTGAAGCCATACATAGCTTCTATGACCATGCAAAAGTATGATAATGATTTAGAAAGAGATCCTGAAGGATCCTTGACAGAAGTAATTGTTGGCGAACTTGGTAAAAAGGATTTGGGTAGGCAGCAGAATGAGCTTGTTAGAGATGAAGAAATTGGGGCTCTGTTGAATGGGAGGTGTTAACAGCTGTTATTTTTTCCTATGTATAGTACCGCAGGGGTACTATTGTACTTTTACTCCTTTTTATTTTAGTTGCTGTCGCCCTAGTATATATATTAAAATGGCTGCACCGCCAGCAGTATCTTTTTGCTCTCAGTTCTCTCTTCTCTCTTCTTCTCTCTCTTTTCTCTATTATTCCATTCTTCTCTCTTGCATAACATGGTATCAGAGTAGGACTATCAGATCTGAAAGGACAAGTCGAGTGAGTAGTTTTTTTTTTTCTTCTTCGCACCAGATTTCCAGATTTGCCACCCTCATCTGCTGTTCGGCTGATTGAAGATCTCACACACTGAAGTAACTTTCCTCTCTCTCTCTCTTACCTTTTCTTTTTCTGGTCGTGTGCCAGGGCAGAACCTGTACTAGGTCTGCCGATTGGATGTGAGGTGATCAACACCTCTTTCTTTCCTTTTTTGTGGGGTCGACCGATCCCTGTGAAACTGTAGGTCGTGAGGACCTTTTTGTGTGCTACAACAGCAGCTTTTATGGGGAACTGTGGGTCAGAAAGTGACCAATACCTCTTGTGTGCTGCAACAACAGCTTTTATGGTGAACTGAAGATCAAAAAGTGACCAGTACTTGCTGTAACAGTAGTCCCGTTGATGTGTAGGTCAAGAGATGACCTGTATGTACTGAGGCAACACTTGTGTTGAGCTTGTAAGTCAAGGGATGACCTATTAGAGCTGTAACAGCACCTGTAACAACACTTTAAGGCTGTGTACCCCATTTAAGAGTTGTTTTTGAATATGAAATCATGAGTGGTGAAGATTCTGCTACATCCGGTGTTTCCTCAATGCTGAATGGAATGAGTGGGGGTGTGGACCTATCCTTTCCCATGGCTGTTATTCCTCTTGATGGTTTAAATTATTTAGAGTGGTCAAGAGGGATCAAGCTGTACATCACTGCAAGGGAAAAGATAGGTTATATTAATGGGAGAATCAAAAAACCACATCCTGGGAGTGCTAAATATGACAAATGGAACCAGGAAAACAGCATGGTCATGTCTTGGCTTTTAGTTTCTATGCAACCTCAAATAAGAAGGAATTTCATGTGGGCTGAAACGGCAAATGAGATCTCGGAACAAGCAAAATCAACATATTCAGAACTGCAACACTATGCAAAAATCTACCAGCTATAGGCAGAATTGTCTACTTGTAAATAGGGGGAGAGGTGTCTATCTGTGTACTACTCAGACTTGACCTCTGTCTGGAAGGAGTTAGATCATTATCAGAGTGTGGACTAGAAGTGTGACGAAGATGCTAAATTGTACAAAAAACTCGTTTCCCAGCAGAGAGTGCTTGCTTTCTTATATGGTTTGAACCCTACATATGAATCTATCAGAGTCCAGATCCTAGGTAGCAAAGATCTTCCATCAGTTCAGGAAGTTTATGCTCTTGTACAATTAGAAGAAAGCAAAAGGAATTTGATGAACAGTTCTGGAGGAGATGCAGTTGTGTTGGTAGCGAAAGGGAGTGTTACTACTGGTAGGGGAAAGACTTATAGGAAGGGGGATCTTCAGAAAAAGATGGATGACAAGGACAAATTGTGGTGTACTCATTGCCAGAAACCCCGACACACCCGAGACACATGCTGGGATCTTCATGGGAAGCCGAAATGGGCTCAAGATCTGAATAAGAAGCAAGGTTCAGATGTGAATAAAAAAAGTCAGGACCGCAAGATACAAGAAAACACACTATGGCAAACATGGCTACACAGGAGAATCAGTCCCTCATTCATACTGTGACTCAGACACACTCATCTGGATCTGACCCAAGGGAGGATATTATAAATTCCTTCCGCGACCATTTAGAGCTCTATGGTAGAGCAATTCGTCAGATGGATGCTCCTCCCTCAACTTCATTTGCGTCTACATCAGGTAACTCTGCCACAGCTTTCCATGTTGCTTATCATAACCCTGACACTCCCTGGATCATTGATTCTAGAGCGTCAAAACACATGACTGGTACGTCCTCTTACTTTCAAACCT